CAGAAAAACAAACAACACCAAACACACACAACTTTTCAACAGAAATCAAACTTCATGGCTTCATCTAAACCCAGGGCCTTAATTTTCATGATTATAGGGTATGCAAAGTAATGTGAGTCACACAGATATCCGCTTGGATATGACCATAAGACTTTGTTCTCTGAACCCTGAATGTGCACATTTAACCTTCTGAAATCAATTTATACAGTCATTACTAGCTGTCGTTTCATGCTTGCGGATCTGAGGCTTGGCTCTTATTGAAGAGTTGATTGATTAATTTCAACATTGCGGAAGCCTCATTTAGCTAGGGGGACATTTCTGTAGTTTAATTTTCTAATTGAAAAACAACCACAAGAATACATTTAAATTATCTAATTTTGAAGCTTTTCATGAGAATTTGCATTTGGACATGTGTTACTTGTTTTCTGAATACACTTTCAGTCATTGCATCACTGAAATTAGACATGTGCATGCATTTACCCCATTACCTACCAGGGAGTTTGAAGGGGCCCTTCCTATAGCCCAGCTGCATTTTAAAACTTGTAAAAAGAGTGAGAACTATATATCCCAAAACTAGGCCCATCATATGCCAGGTAGAGGGGAAGCTGCTGGATCTGTATGAAAGGAGAGATAAATGCTAACCAGGAGAAACTGTTTTAGAACTTTCTCATTACTAAAGCAGAAAGCACAGTTAATCATTTTGTTTCAGTTACCATGGGAAGCTGTTCCATTGAAGTAATTTCTCACTAAAAGAAAATACTGCATTAATATTTAATTTGAAATTAAGTGAAATTATGATAATTTGAAAAAAAAAAAAAACAATTGAAAATTAATTTATTTCTCCATTTTCCCTTCTTACTTAATTCAATGTGATAAAGAATCTGTGTGAATGCAGCTCCTTAAAGCCACACTTCGCAACTGAGAGAAAGTAATTGTTAATATACAATGTTTGGGGAAATTTAAAATCTTCAAAAAAGACACGAAAACATGGAACACTTTCATTCATAAACCATAAATCATAGTCTTTGAGGTATAAAAAAAGCACACTGAAATAGAATTGGTAAGTTGTATCCAAGCTTAGGACCAAAGGAAGTTGCAAACGGAAGATTCTTCAGTGTATGCATGAAGTTCAAGAACTTCTGTCATCAGATGAATTACAAAAAGATAATTACTTTCCCTGCTCAAGAAGTTACTCTTTTCTTTCTTTCACAGGAATACTGTACTGGCTCAGTCATGCTGCAGATGATTAAAAAAACCCATAACAACACAACAAAAAACCTGGTACGAAACACTTCAAAATTGATACATAACTCTCAGAGATGTAAAACATTCAAGAAATTGGGGTATGTGCTGAGGCAGAACTAAAATTTATGCATCATCAGCTGAAAAAAGCTGGTATTAAATTACCTTTAGTATTTATTCTAATATAAATACTGCCCTTATATCCACTTCATTTTAAATCACAACCTCTCCTGAATGTGCTTTGTTTTCCTATAAATATGAGATACAGATTAATATAAATGTATCACAATGAATTATGGGAATAAATTAATGGTAAAAAGAATCATAGAATCATAGAATCACCAAGGTTGGAAAAGACCTAAAAGATCACCCAGTCCAACCGTTCACCTATTCCCAATAGCTCCTACTAAACCATGTCCCTCAACACAACATCCAGTCTTTCCTTGAACACCCCCAGGGTCGGTGACTCCACCACCTCCCTGGGCAGTCCGTTCCAGTGCCTGACCACCCTTTCTGAAAAGCAATACTTCCTCATGTCCAGTCTGAATCTCCCCTGCCGTAGCTTGAAGCCGTTCCCCCTGGTCCTATCACTAATGACACGAGAGAAGAGGCCGACCCCCAGCTCACTACAGCCTCCCTTCAGGAAGTTATAGAGAGCAATGAGGAAATTGTTCAATGAAGAAATTGTATGTGTTCAGATAATTTGTGCCTGCTATCCAAAAAGGCCATATCAGATATTAAGGATAGACTAATCAAGTGTTGTGAGCTAATTAGGCAACAAAACAAGTGACACTGAGAACAAGTATACTTAATATGGCCTTACAGTATTTGATATTGATGGCTTTAATATTCCCATTCTCCAGAGCTGGTTTGCTTTTTCCATTCTTCTGGTTTTCTTTACTTCTAATGCCCTTCCATATGGCCCAATGATTCTGCACATTTAAACAGCCTCCACTGATAGCTGACTTATTCATACCTTTCAGGAGGCACAGAGAAGCTGAAGAGCATCACAGATGCCCATTGGAAACATCCCTTACAGAAAGGTAATTTCATGCCCAAGGAAGACACATTTATTTGTCCACCTCTACCCCTGAGGTTAAAGACAAGTTACTGAGAAATCTTAGGGGGAAAAAAAAGCCCAGTTGCTTAAAGGAGAGTTAAGTGGCAGTCAAAAGAGACTCTTTGATTTCACTAAACCTAGTAACCATGGACAATCATTTCTTTCCAGACTCCTAAAAAAACTTCAGACAAAGCTGTCTTAAAAATCCTTATCTTAAGGAAATTCTGGCAGGGAGGCTGCGTTGTGGGTGTGAGGAGTGTTTTACAGCAATTATCTCCTATTAGTGGTGTTTATGTAAGAAATCAACATTCAGCTCTTCCCATATATAGACAATAACGTCCCGGAGGCAGATAACTCATAAGATCAAAGAAGTATCTGTATATGAAATAGTGAAGCACAGTCCATCCCTTCTTTGGCTAATTAAGCACAAACCAGTATTAACAGCTTTGAGAAAATCCAAGAGAAATTTAAGCATCTGCTATTTTCCACTCATCTCTTAGACTGGGCTTTCTTGGCATATGAGCTGTCTTTTGGCTGATTTCCACAACAAGAAGAGAGCTTGTACGATAGGAAAAGTCAAGAAGAGTCCTCACTTTCCCACCATCCATCCTCACTCCTCTCCAAAAAAAAAGTGATAAGACCAATGCAGTCTCTTTGGGCATGGAAGAACACATCACTAAATTATATTTAAAAAAAAATAAAAAAAAAAAAATATATATATATAGTCATATATACAGCTGAAATATTTTTGACCTATTTTCCCCAGACATGAAACGACTTGGCAATTCTTGATGACCTTTTTAGTGACTTCCTTTCTTGCCACCCTATCTGCTACAGATTACTGCCTTCCTGGCTGCTGCTAGCTGAATTTGTGAAAAAGCAAGATTGCCAACAAATCAGCCAAATAAGAAAAAGCTTGTAACTCTCCTCCTCCTCAAATACTTTCATGTATCTACATTCTGTAAAAACTCTGTGTTCCCACATTTACCAGGAGCTACAAACATTACTGAAGAAGGAAAACTGCACATAACTAATCTTCAAAATGATACCGCATGAAAAGCAGTCTTCTCTACAGAGTTTGACCTCTTTTATCAGGAGTTTACAGCAGTTGATGCCCAAAATAATTAAAACACATTCTCTCTAAACAGTTCTAGTCTGGTTGAAGCAAGGCTACAGTGAAATGTAGTTTGGGATCTCGTATATAACACTAGAAAAGAAATCATAGCAGTATAAATTACATTTTGATCCCTAACATAGACAGTTTAATAGGCCAGATTCAGCAAAGCATTTAAGCAAATGTTTAAATCCCATTGATTTAAGTGGGATTTAAGCACATATTAAATACTTAGTTGAATTGCGGCCATACTGTGAAGGGACTCTTAGAACAAGGAAAGCACAGTAGGCTTCGAGGATCTTTATTTACAGCTCAGATGTTAACTTAGCAAATTTGGCTTAGGAACTTGTATAATGCAAAAGGAGCCAAGGACAGACTGCAAGAACATTTGGCTGCCCTGGGTCACTCCAGGATAATGCAACATATCAATATGGGGTAGATTTAATTTCTAAAATACTTTTATCTTATAATTTACCATGTTTCAGTTACAATTAAGGTGCACCGCCTTAACGTGTCACTCAGTGCTTTATTGTACATACAGACTTCAGATGCTGCCAAATTTCTAGTGCTCTCAGTTATTCATCTCTGTTTCTTCCCTCCCACTTTTAACCCCAACCTTCTGGTTACAGGGTGAGGAGGAGGCAGATGACATTTGCTGTTTGTCAGTCAGCTCTCACTGTGCAAACTTAGAAGGAAAAAAAGTTAACAGCACCAATCCGTCATCCTGGAATATGAAGATGTGAGGGATCAAACCAGACATTACATCTCAGAGAAGTCATGCTAAAATTGTGTAATTTCTCTTGTAGGTATCAAAACTATGTTTAGTCTACATGTAATTTCCGAAATACTGTACATGTCACAAAGAATTATACTGCCTATAGGATGACTTATTATTTCTTTATCTTCTCTTCTTTACTCTAGACATTATATAAGTTTGCGAGCTCTACTGACACTACTGCAGATGGTTGGACTATTTCTATTTATCTTGCAGAGTAGGAGTTAGCTTTTTGGGACATTAATATTCCTTGTTGTCAGTTCTTCTTTTTGGGAAGAAGCCTATTTCTGGGGAAGTCTGGGAAACTTGGTTCCCTCACTCTAAGAATAGCACAACAGGAAACAGAGCGTTATATCATGTCCAGGCACTAACATTTGTAGTGAAATTAGGACTCGGGGTTTTATGAAATCACCTAATAGTATTTGAAAATGGATTAGTTTTGAAATCATTTTTTATTTAGCAGAATGCTCTGAGGCTTAAGAGAAATTTTTCTCGGTGCTGTCATCACGGCAGGATCCAGTTAAAACATGATCAAACATTAGTGAGCTATAAAAAAACAGCTTGGTTATATTACACAGGCTTATTTCTAAAATATTTTGTTCTATAGATAACATTGTCAAAGCTGATAATAGCCACAATTCCCATAAATAAGTAATGAGGATTATTTAATGTTAAATAAAAGATGAGCAATGTTTTTCAGGCATTTAACTGAGGTGGGGGAAGGGATCCTAAAGTAATCCCAGATTTACAGATAAAATCTGCAGATTTGTGCTGAACAAATTTGTGATATGACAGAAGCTACAGCTCACCTTTCCTGCTTTCTTCCAGATGGAACATTTTCAGAAGACCTTATTTCATTCCAGGGAAGGTGCACGAATCCACTTACAGTAGAGACACTGCAAAGACAGCACAGAGAATTATTCAATCAGCTCACCAAAAAATCTCTCTAAAACATCACAAGACAAACTTAACTGTATGATAAACTGACTTCTCTGTCATTGCATAAGTTCGTACTTCTCGTAATTAAACTCTGATGAGGAAGTTGCAGTAACTAGTTCAAACATTGACCTTTGTGAGCGCGAGCACGGATGAGTACACACAGTACTGGGTGTACAAAGGACTGGCCCTGCTTCTTCTCACCTGAGTGTGTGCAAAATGCTCTCATTTCACAGCTGACTTGCTCTGGATTTCTTAGCTCTGTGCTAATCTCAGCTTGAAATTTAGGACACAACAGTTTCTGAACTGAGGCCAAGAGTGTTTCTAGTGATTAGCAGATAAATTAGGAAAATACTCAGCCTATTAGAATGAGTATACTTAAAAATATGATGAGATGAAATCATTTGCTTAACTCTGACTAAAACAGTAAAATGGCACAAAGCTTTGCACTCTGAAGCACATTACCTGGTAGCTCATACAGTTTATCAGAGAATGAAGAGTAAATCAGTTTCAGCAACAGCACTCATAATTTTATGACTAATAAAAAAGAGAAAAAAGGCCACTGTAGACACTTACTCCAAAGCAAGTTTTTGCATTACTAAACAGACATCTAAATGGAAAAAGGTTTAATTTGTCTTTATTCTCAACTGTGACAAAATACATCAGTCTCCTTTACCTTCACAGCTGAACCAAGTCTGTTCCTCTGAACACAGAAAGGCTAAAAAAGACTGCCGTAGGAAAAAGCATAAAGTGAACAATTTCATAAGAGTGACTTTTTTTGCCTCCTAAAATGCAGTAGAAGTTTCCATACTTTGTGTTATCACTTACCAAAGAGTCTAAACTCCCCAAAATCAATCACATAGCTTATGTGGCACAGCAGTACAATATGTTCCGGTTGGACAGGGAAAAATTAAAGATTTTTGAATAAACTTTCTGCACATTACTACACTAACCCGGTGTCAACTTCATTCAGAATTTAAGCTTAATATATTCTGTCCCAAAATAAAAACTAAAGAGGTGCTGCTCTCATTCAGAAAATACAAATCCGTATCTCATTCATGTATTTAAGTAGGAAATCCAGGAGTCACAGTAGGCCTAAGAATCTCATGTCTTTGGAGTTAAAGTGCTTTTAAAAGTTCCCATTTTTAATTCATATGAGAATGATAAAGACGAGACTAAGAGGGAAATAATATGATGCTATTTGACTAGCTAAACCATCAAACTGACACCAGTCACTATCTCCCCAAAATATGTAAACAACAAAACTCACTAAAACTGAATTTATTAAAAAAAAAGACAAAACTTGGGATAGATTCTACAGTGAATTGTGACTCTGCTTTACTCTCATTGCTTTATATGCAAAAGAGCAGTAGTGCACACTGACCTTTATTGGTTCAAGTCACATCAATAGGACAATACCCAAGGGGAATAATGGGAGTGGGGAGGAAAGGGGAGAGTGAGCCTGGATTTTTCAAAGGGTGAAAAACTGCTGAAACTTGTGGGCCAGTATTGGCATCCATTAAAGGAAAGGAAAAGCAAAACATAGTAACCTCACTCCAGCTTATTTGTTGCTGCTTAGCTATGTATTATTATTATTACTATTTTATTAACATGAATATGCTTTATAGTTTAGGATGACTGTCAGTGCCTCTGCTCAAAAGAGGAAGAAGTCTAGGACTGCAGAGCTATAAAATCCAAGGTTTTTGCTTGGATGCTCCGTCCTCTGCCTCGTTAATGAGTGCCACAAATATATGGCTAAAATGGCATTTGTAGGTTATGGTTTTTTTCAGACTGCAGGACTCCCAAAATACATGAGCCAATGCTACACAGGCCTGTTTGAGCATTGATAGCCAGCCAGCAGTTGCAATGGAATGATCGGGAGATTAATTTCACCTGCTGCCTGGGCAAAACATCCTGCTTTAAAGTCAAATAGCACGTTTTGCCCTCAGACTGGTAAGAGTAGGCTGTTTGTGATACCAGAATGATAACTGCACAAGGCACGAGCAATCACCTCAGGCAAATCACTCTCAGTGGTGTAGCATGAACAAACATATCAGCATTTGCCAAACAAGGATGCATGTTGTCACCAACACAACACTTTTATACAACAATACATCAAGAGGTACTCAACCAGCAATGAGACTTTGAAGGAATGTGATGAAAACAGCCTGGAGAATTTATTGAGTCGTCATCACAGAGAGGAGGGAATTTACTGAAGGGATCACCCAAATGAGGCTGGAAGGCTCTAAACAATGTAATTGGTCTTGTTAGCATCTAGGGGATAAACTATCTCTCAGATGGAAACTAAACTCAGAAGAGGGGAAAGTTATTTGATGAACTCACCACAATAAACCACAAAGAGTCATCTGAAAAGCAAAGCTGTTTGCAGGCCAGGAAAGAGACACAGATTTTGAATCCTCAGATATAAACATTCAAGATCTTCTAAGAAGCCTTTCTAGATCTCAGAAAGCACATCCAAAAATCATAGATTTTCCAGCTATTACTTCAGTTTCTGTGAAGTGAGTGTTTTTTTTTTTTTTTAAATCATTTCGCACAGAATTCTTTGCCCTGTCTCAGGTAATTCACAGCATATGATCCTGTAAAGCTGCTGAAGGAGCAATGCCACAGACATATTTCCCCATAGCTTTCTTCTGTTTTTACAGGTCTTCGTTTTTGGTTTGAATGTACTTAGGTGGATTTAATTGGCAACTACTTATTGCACATCTTACAAATTCTGTAGTAGAGCTCTGGTTTTATTACACAGATATTTCCCTTGTATCTTAAATGAAACTGTAGCTCTGCAGATAACAGAACATGGTCATGTGAATTCCCACTAATAGTTACTTAGGAATGCAAAGCATCTAAATCAAATAGCTATCCCTATTACCAAAACAACAGTACTCTCCATAATTAATTTTTTTTTCTTTTTTCCTTTATTTCTTCAGTAAAGGAGCAAAAGGTCAGGGCTTCCATTACACAAACAGGAATCAAGAAAGAGAGTAAGATCAAATATGTTGGTTTTTCCAACAACTTCTAGGCTCAAAGACGAGCAAGTCTGTGGAAAAGTCTATACACAGAATTTGTGGGCACCATTATGTCATTTCCTTCTGCTTTTTCATGAATTCCATGATCATTTAATGTAGCACTTGCAGGAAATCCATTAAGAAGAGCACTGAATGCAGCAACTACAGCAGTGCTGTGACTTCAAATGAAAACAGACACCGTCCAAAGATTATTCCCAAGAACAGTATTAAGAATATTCACCTCAACAAATTCCAAGAGCTTTGGGTGGGTGGGTCTAACAGGTACCTCTATACATTTCTGGAAAACCATTGCTGACAATCAGATTGCAGGAAGGAGGATCCCATAAATTAGACCATGCTTCTGGAGAAGTACCAGAATTGGTACATAACCATTATCGGAAGAACCATGCAATTCCTGCAATCAATACACAACAGTAAAGCAGCAGTGACTCTGAGCCACCCATTTGGGAGGAACAAAACATGCATTTTTCCTTTGTGCCCATTATGTTGTAGAGTACTGATCTTGAGGTCTAAAAATTTCAAAGATGTACTTTCATTGGTCCTTAAGAAGTCACCTCTATGTCTTACCTCAGTATATCCCCTACACCAGTCTGTGACATATAGAAGCTGGTTGCACCAGCTTGGCATGCACTGCAGAAACTCCTGCATCTATTGGAAATGAAGGGGGGGCAATATTTGATGCACTGTAGCAAATAGGGAAGTGATGGAGTCACCGTCCCTGGTGTTCAAGAAACATGGCACTGAGGAAGGTCAGTGGGCAATACTGGTGGTTGGTGAACGGTGGGCTTTGAAGTGTTTTTCAACCTTAATGATTCTGTGATTGGATTAGGGTTAGTAACAGCGATCTCACAATCCTGCTGCCCAAGACTGTGATTACTCACAAAATACCAAGTTGTGAACACTGACTGAAAATACCATCACCAAGTAAGACAGAACTAGAAGGAAAACAATGGAGAATAACATGAAAAAAAACTTCAAACATCTATTAGCTTATAAAAGCAAGTGTGAATGTGAAGAAAAATAACGCAGTCTTTAGAGAATAGCCTACGTGGGAAGGCCTCAAAATTCTACTTTTTATACCATCTTTCCCATGAGACTTTGAAAAACACTAATTTTCCTTAGCATATTCTGTGGACAATAGGAACCACAATATACAGAGCTGACCCATACTACTTATTTCCAGAGGAAGGTGAACAGTTTGTAGATGGCAATTACAGAACAAAGTTTATGGTATCAAATCATATACATAAGAGATGAAATAGTGCTTGTAAGATTTCTATGTTCCCTCGCAAACATACTCTAAAATCTCATTAGCTCCCCTGATAATCTCTGCCAGTGGTGGCTGCACAACGCATTCACCCATTCATACCAAGCTCCTTTCCATGAACCTTAATTCTGCTGCTGTTTACACCAAGTTTCAGTTAGCATCAAGATGTCCCAGCATTCTGCCTTCAACTCTCGCTAGAGTTTATCATAATGGGTATAAATCTCAAATTAAAAGAAAAAAAAAAACAACAAACTTTGTTTCTCTTGTACAAGATGACTTCCATCTGATGGATGTAGAGGGCTCCAGTCATCAGAACTGGCCATCTGTTTTCCCTTTGTCTCTGTATGTGCTACGCCCAACTTGGGTTTTCTGCTGAAAACAAGAGACTCAAGGTGGCAATAGAGAGCTGAAAAAGACGCATTCCAGGAAAGTACTATAAATAACCCTTTTGTTGCTTGATGTGTTGATAAACCTCTTTCTGGAGGGGCCTCCGGTGTTAATCTGCCCTTCAGTCTCTCAGCAATTCCCATCTAAAATTATCAACAACTAGTTTTGTCAGTAGAGACTGTTTATTTGAAGTTTCACGACTCCCAGTTTGCCGAATATTAACTGCTTTAAACATAAGCACACAGCCACAGTCTAGAAAAAC